TGATTCACAATTATAACTATAATATAACTATATATATATATATGTATATGTATGTGTGTGTGTGTGTGTGTGTATATGTACAGACTATTCCTGTATATTGTCCTTTCCTGGTCATGGCTATTTTGGTGTGTGAACCATTCATACTGAAGCTTCCATTACTCAGTTATCTCTAGACTTTCACCTTACCCTTCACACGTTCTGCTTAGACACCACACTGTGCCTCTGTAAGAGCTGGTGGTTTAATCTTATTTAACATAAGTGCCTCTCATTTGAAGGAGCAGAGGGAGCCAGGAATATGACATCTTGATTGTATTGGTTAAAAACATGTGCTATGTTGGAGGAAATCACTCCTATGATTTAAACTTCACCTTAAGCTTAAGGCCTATGAAGTTCTGAGTAGCATGTTATTCAGACCATTTTTAGGCAGAGAATTCAAGTTCTAAGATGTGTTTTACACTCAGCTTCTGTTAGGGTTTTTTTGTGTATGTTACAGAAGGGTAAGGGATAGGTGGTCATACATCCTGTCCCTGGCTGCAGTCTTGGAGCTCAACAGAGACCGATGAGCTGCAGGGAGCAGAGAGGATGTAATCGCTCAAGTGGCATAAACTGCTAGAACACAGCTCGAGGAATCCAACAATGAGGCCAGGGGACAGCTAAATACTCATTGAAGAGGGAAGGAACTGCTCAGCCACTGGATTATTCTCCTTTTAAAGATGGGGCATTTGCGTTCTCTATGGCCCACCAACCATAGGCAGTGGTTATCATATGATTTTGGTATACATTTTGGACTTGATCTGCGCTGCTGTAGTCTTTGTGATCATGTGCCTGGCAGAAGCCCAGACTGCCTACGGCCGTGCACAGAGAGGATTGCTTACAGAGCCTTTAATGTAACTGCTTACCCATGGAGCATCCTCCCAATGCCAGCGCTTCAGATGCTGGCACTGCTGTATCGGTCCCTAAGCACTTATCACAGAATGTACTGGGTTGGAAGGGACCTTTAGAAATCATCCAGTCTAACCCCCGTGTGCTCCTGCTTCAGTCTGGCCAAATTAAAGGAAAGGTATCACTTCCTTGACACACATATACCATGTGTTTTTCCCGACTTTCTACTAAAGACAATTTTTTCTCCATCTTCTTCTTGAAGAAGAACATCCCTTGGGAATAAAAAACATTTACAAAGGAAAAGGATACTGAAGAGGTGATCAGCCTTGTACTAAAGCTGAGAAGCATCAGATAGGTGCCAAATGTCTTGAAAAGCAGTTGAAAGTCAGAGCCTTGGGAGTAATTTACAGGCATGAGACTGCAATTCTAGAGACTTACTAGGAATTACCGCAGCCCTGGTGTAATTGCAGAGAGCACTGGAGTCCCCACGCTGGCCCCCAGGAATTCACTGGAGAGTCAAAGTCTGAGCAAGCCCTGCTGCTGGTCATGTACACTAATGAGACTGAGGTTCTTCTAGTATCTATTGATGACCGTTTCATGTAGAATGATACAGGAATACAGGTAACAGGAGCACGGGCTTTTAGCTAATTCCTTTGAATACTCAACACCACAGCGGGATTAGCTGTGGAACTGCAGGTATACTCCTCGTATTCCTCTCTTCTCCCTATCTTCTTTTCTCTCTGGATTTTGAGCAGAGATCTTAGCAGAGAGAAGGACTGAGACTTAGCAAACTGGCAAATCCAAATTATGGACTCTTAAGTAGAAACCAAAAAGGGGAAATGAAATTCTGGTAACACCCAACCTATGCCATCTTCCTGACTTTATCTAACCCTGATAAAAGACTCTCTTCATCTCTCCTAAAAGCACTGGAAGTGATCCCGAGGTAGACTGAAATACAGGTTTGAGGTATCTCTTTCCCATCCCCTTGATGTTTATCACACTGCCATATGCACGGCTGATGCTCTGAAGGTCAAGCTGGGTTAGTGAAGCTGTTCTTTAAGACGTGCCAGAATACTTTAATTATAACTGACTTCCATCTGATCAAAGTTTAGCCAGCAACTCTGGTGAAACTGCTCTGACTTACAGGTGCTGTGGGCCGAGGCAGTGCTGTAGGTTACAGTGCGCTGTCCCAGAGGTGGGGCACAGCTGTCTTCTGCTTTCGGCCTGAAAAATTGCTTTGTCTTCCCCCCCCCCCCCCCCCCGAAAAAAGGGCTAGAAAGTCACTTTTCAAAAGCAAATGAAAATTGAGTGTGATTCAGGCTATGTGGACTGGGGAAAGATCAAGGGAATTTTGTCCAATGCCACTTCTGTGCCATTATTTCTACACTGTACTGAAGGCTAGTGATGATCTATATTGTCATACACCCGAACCAGGGCTTAATTATTAATACCAGAGAGCTAAATTTTGGGGATACACAATAACCACCCTTCAGGGGGCAATAGTCCCAGTTCTATTCTGGCAACGGTAATTCTAAGTGAAGATATATTTCTAGAACACTTTCATTATTGGGCTTTTGCTATAAACGTGATTGCTTCTAATTAGAAATTATTGGTTTAAATCTACTCCACAGGGTCCTTCCTTTTAAGCAAGAAAATTAAACAGTGAATCTTCTCATCTGTCAATTCTGTAAGCCCCGCTCCCACACCGCGTTTCCCCAGTCACACACAGTAGTGGAGGTTCCCGGATTATTATAACCTTTTATAGCACTCGCACACTCTGTTCTCTGAAACGTAATAAAAGGGTTGTACTTGGTCATTCATCAAAAATTTAGCAATTCCATAAGGTATCAGCAGATGCTAAATACCAGTGCTGTGCAGGTGAATGCACCAAAGAGAAGTTCATGGGCTCGAGTTTCACATATTGCAAGGGTTTAATCCAACACACTCGTACTCTCAAATGGTTGAAATAAGCCTCAGGATATGAGCAGGCTGAATTTCAAAGTCATTTTTATCCCTGTGTGGTTGTGGTATAGCCGTTTGATAGGTATTCATATTAGAAAGCTTAAATCCATTGAGAGGTATTTTAGGCAGAACTGCTTTAGCGGGAAATAAAATATCCATGTCCATACATCACGTATGCATGTGAAAGTAAGTTCCTGTACATGTACTTGTACGATTTGCTTTGCTTTATGATTAGACCATACACTCTTTATCCAAGTGTATTGTGCCATTGGATATGTATTACCCATTTACATCAAAGCTTCTCAGGCACGTCTTTGTCCAAAACATCCTGACAAAGACAGCAAAGAACAGCTATCTCGGCAGCAATGTCTGTGTACTGCTGTCTGCCTGATGCTCTTCCCCTCCACCCCAGTTATCTTGATAAAGGGGCTGTTTGGGAGCCTTGCCTTCATTCCTCCCGCAGCAGCATGCACAACAAGCAGCAGACTGAAAAATTATGTTCACGCCTTGACCTTGAGACTTCCTGAACCAGTTTGGATTGGCTCTCCCCTGGAAACAACAGGCTTCCACAGGAAGTTCATAAATGGGCCCAAGTCACAGCAATTGACGTAGTTTTAATATTTTTAACTTGGTTCTTCAAGAGCTACCTAAAATGGGCGGCGTTTCATGGACACAAAGAACTGGCCAGCTTTCCCAAGAGCAAACGTCAGCATGCTGGGTGCAGTGCAAATGGGGCTGATCACCGTCCGGCCCCGTGAACGCAGCCTCTGCTGAGCACGGCGCTGGGACGGGGCTGTGCGCCCGTGGGCCGTGCTGTGCCCCGCATGTCCCCATGTCAGCACCACTGGGCTCCAACACTGGACCCTGCCAGCATCTCCAAAGAGCTGCCCTGTGGGCTTGTGTCCCACACCCCTCAGCTTCAGGCACGCTTGTACCCGCAGCTTCAGCGCTGATGTGCTCTCCTCCCCGTCTGCTCACCACCACCCCCCCCCAATTTCCCTCTTGCAGAAAGCACTGTACATTGTCCTTCTCTCAGAAATGGTTTGCAAGACTCATTCAGAGACGTTAAAGAAAAGTTCTTTTACTCCCCAAGTCTCAAATATCGCAAGAGGGATGTGTCAAAAGCCCATGATTTGTTCCACTCGCAATGTCAGGGGAGAGGACCAGAAAAAATAAAGATTACAAAGAAACAGGAGTATTAGATCTTCAGAAAGAGAATTATGGATGAAAATGGACATGAAAACCTTGGTTTTAAGATGTTTCTCTTTTTCACACAGCTCTAACAGAATGCAACTGCATTAGAGCCATTCCTTTTCATTCATTTGCTTTGCACCTTGTTTTCTCATCACCTGTTCAACATTAACTTAATGGAAAACACTCTCTTATTTACATCTCTGCACTCCACTGATTGTATGCTATAACTGGACAACAGATTCAAATTCAAAGGCCTTGAGTGCATTGCTCCTGTCTTATGAAAAGGACATTTTCTTGTTTGCAAATAATCTAATGTAATGGGGATGAAAGATTGTTATTAATGTTTGCAAGGCGTATGATTCAGACAGAGCTATTTAATTCATTTACAAATCAGCAGCTCTGTCAAAGGGCCATAATGATAGGCTTTAAAGCAACTTTTAAAATTAATTGGCTAGTCTGATTAGTTAATGATTTGGGATTTTCTGGTCTATACTTAACTGATGTACTTTGAAAGACAAATTATATATATACATATTGTTGAAGAAATTGACAGGAACGAAAAAACTAAGCAGGACACCTTCCATGAAGCAGGCTCTCTTTTCATTCAGTCAAGAAGTCAGAAACCTTCCTTGCAAGCTGTCCCCACCTCCCCAAGTCACAAAAATTAGATCCACTGGATAAACCAAATAGTTTTAAATGTTCTTTGGTTTGTACTTGTAAACCACAGGATCCATAGTATACATTTACAAGGTAAAGAGTTAATTTGGTGTCTTTTTTTTTCACTGATAAAGGCTTATCTTGTATTCTTCCAATCTTTCTTGTAAGCATTTCCTGAGAGGGGGAATAAGCCAAGCATCATGGAGGATCTGCCTGTGACACCTAGCAGGTATCCTACCTAGCAGGGGCAGCAGTGTCCGTTTGGCCAAGGCTAACAGGTCTTACACAATAATTTATTACAGTACCTTTCTGTTTCCTGGTCTGTGGTTTGCTGCTTGTTCTCAAAGCCAGTGAAGCTGCTCATATCCACATAGCCGTCGTTCTCATTAGCAGCAGATAATGCCCTGCTGGGATCTTCAAAAAACTCAGTAAAAGTTCCCGCTCTTGTGGATCTTCGAGGAGGAATTTGTATGTTCTCATAGTCAGATGTGTCAGCGTTGGGAAAAGAAATGGACCTAGGTTTCGTTAATGGGAGTGGCATGAAAGGAGGTCTGGACCGGTCCTCGAAGGACTCCACCCTTGACACGCTCCTGCTGAAGGACTTGGGCGTTCCTTTTCTTTTACCATCCTTGTAGAAAAGAACAGCTGAGGGAGATTCAGATGCACGGAGCTTCCCCACATGCGACTTTAGTTGAGGTGAGCTACTTAGGCTCCTCCTGTCCAGCTCCATCAGCCTCGGAGGCCCATGATAGCTAGACTCTGATGAGGACCTTGAAGAGGAAACATTAACATCTACATGGACTTTACTTTCAGTTTTCTTCTTGAATTTTAGAGTGAGGAACCTCTTAAAGGAAGATTTCTTTTTCTTGGAATACTTATCAGGTGAGTCATTCTCTATCAAAAGCGAAGGGGAACTTTTAGTGATTGGCTTTTTGGTGATGTAGGCAAGTTCAAAAGGAGGGGGTATATCAACAACTGAGGATGGAGTAGATAGGCCACACGATGAAAGAAAATTCCTCTGGGAAAAACTACCTGAGGAACCATTGACACAAGGCAAAGACAAGTTGTCTTCTGTTCTTTTCATCCTACCATCATCTAGTACACAGCCATCAGTTTCTCTGTAAACAGAGACAGGTATTTCTCTCCCTTCAACAGAGTAAGATCGAGGATATAAAATGAAACGTCTTGACTTGGTTGGTAATGTCCTGTTAGCCTCCCCTGGTTTTCCCTCCACTGAAAAAGGATTATTGCTTAAATCTTCTGTCCCAGTACCATTGCGGGAAGATGGTAAATCAGTTTCAGTTCCGCTTTCTTCTGGAACTGTTTCTGGGACATAGCCTGGCATTTTCCCAGATAGCGACCGTGTTCTAGTGACGATGCTTTTACGATCAAGGGGCAGCAAGTTGTTTTCACCATCCATGCCCAATTCATCCCTTTTACTGTGATCAGCTCCTAAATCAGTCTGCCCACCATGAGCAATTTCATTTTCTGCAGGAAGCACGTAAGGGTCATCTAGGGAATCACTGCTAGTTTCTCTTTCCTCTGAGTCTTCAGGCACAATGACCACGTCAGGGACTGCTAGTTTTTCATGCAAGTTATGTTTGGTCTCATATTCTACATTCATTTTGCCATGGTTACAGACTTCTAACTCTTCCTTAAGGGGGACCTGTTGAGGTGAACTTGGGGCACTTTTGCTGAGGCTATTTGCTTCCACCTCATTGTCTTCAAGGTGCAGCTCATCTGACTTAGAGGTTTCCACAGTACTTTCACTATGTTCTTCAACAGGCACATCTTCCAGCTCTGGCTCTATTCCCAGATGACTTGGTAGACTGTCAGAGCTCATACCATCTTCATCCAGAGAGGTCCCTTCTCTTTGAAGATTCTCATCTGAATGCTCCATGGGTATTTCCTCACCACATTCATTCTCACAAGGAGCAATTTGACAGCCATCAGACATATTCTCTGCATTCACACTTTCTTCTTCCCCTTCCCCAGAGTCTTTGCTTGTTTCACAGCCTTCCTCTGATGTCTTCTCCTCACCTCTCCTCTCAGTGATCTGGCAGCCATCACTGGCATCTCCTGTGTTTGTATTATTGTGCTCATCTAGGTCTGCTTCCTCCTCATCAGCTGCTGCTTGATGGACAGACTCTTCTAAACCATTTGCAGTGTTAGGTTCATCTTCACATGGTTCTAAGCCAGGAGCTGTTTCTTCACTGGCCTCATTGGGCAGGATGTCAAGGCTTGCAGAGTCATCATTTTCTAACTCCCCTTCCATGTTCAAATCAAGCTCTGCATGCATACCGTGGTCACCACCATGTGCTGGACACCCATCTTCCTCTTCTAAAATTTCAGGCACTTCCTCCTCCTCCTGCCCTGCCTTCTCACAGCCTGGGATTGATTGGTCTGCGGGCAATGGCATTACAATGGCATCTTTACAGGTATGAGCCATTAGTTCCTCATCTCCATTCAAAATGTCACCACTCTCAATCTCACAGTCACTATTGTCCTTAACCAGTTCCAGGTCGTTAGAAGTTTCCTCCTTGTTTTTGGTTTCACTACAATCACCTACAACATCCTTATCTTCATCTAAGTTCTTGGAAGCATCATTATCCCCATTAGGGGCATCTGAGGGCTCCTCACAATGTGCTTCAGACTGGTCACAGTCTCTGGTTGACTCTTCAGAGTCTGGTTCCATTGCTTCAGCAGTATCTGAAGAGTTATGGTGCTCATCTTCAGTGACTTCTTGATTACCGGTATCCTCATCATTAGCAACGTTATCCTCTTCCTTCTCTACCTCTTCTGGAGCTTCCGAGACTTCATTTTCCACAGAAGAATCTGGGTTCTGATCATGCTTATGTTCCAAGTCATTACAGTCTTTGCTGGCCAGCTGAGCTTCAGGAACTACAATGTACTCATTATCCGTCTCAGATTCTGGGCAATCAGCATTGCATTGGTTTCCTTCATACAGCTCTCCATCAAGACATACCAGTTTCCCATTTGAGCATTTATTTAAGTTATTGTTGGTATAAACACTGGATTTGCCCTCAGTGTCAGCGGAGAGTTTTGGCTTCGGAGCAATCGGTGGTTTGGGACCCCTAGGCATAGAGTTCGGGTTATGAAGAATATCAGCCCTCGGCAGTGAAGGAGAAAATTTGGAGACAGCTACCGGAGAAAGATGACCGATAATCTTTGGTTTTGGTGCTAGTGGTGGCTTTGAGATTTCTGGGAAAAAAAAGAGAGAAAAGCCACGTTAGTCATCTCGGATTCTTACTAGAGCAGCAGAATATATCCTGCGATGACTTATCTCAGACCCATGACTTCTCCTGCAGAAGGAGTCCAGCCAATAAAAGGAGCAAAGCAGCCGCGCTGTGCTCCGCAGCTATGACAGCCAATTACTCCAGCTACACCAGGGAACATGGTTTAAGGTCAAAACTGAGCACCCTTGGGGCGAGGACGATGCACAGCTGCAGGGCCACGGGTGCACCACACCGACACCATGGGCGGGTACAGTCCTGCTCCCAGGACTGATGGCATCAGAGACCTCTGGATTCTGCCCCAGAAATCCCTTTGCCCTAAGACGAAGTATGAGCACTTGGAACAGTGAAGCTGCCACGTTTCACTGCAACGAAAGAAATGCCTCTCAGCCATAGTAGCTGTTCTTATAACGCAGTACAAACACTTTGTGGCAACTATTTTAATTTCAAGATGTAGTTCGCAGAATTTATTCAGCATTGAACAAACTTAGTTCTACCAAGAGATCATGGTTTAAATCAACTCAGCCAAACTGAAGGGAACACTTGGTGCCCAGACACACTTCCCTTACCCCTGGTAACCTGCCATTACCACGGTAACAAAATATGGAGTTACTTTTTGTTTGTCAAACAACATAATTATGAGGGATAAGATGGTTTGCTAAAAGCTTGGCTAATACTTCACATTGATTATGCAGCTGAGCTGTAATACACTGAATGAAATACTTCAACTGAAAACATGAAGAGGATTAGTGGTTTAAACTTCAGTTTTCAGTGTACAGCTTCTTCAGTCCTTTCTTTAGTCAAAAGATCTTCCATCCTCCTGTAAATGCCAGGACCCCTTGCAGGCACAGTCTTCTCTGAGCATCAAAATATACTTTTTAAAAAAAGTAAGTATCTTGCAAAATAAAGCCAGCCAGGGTCTCTAAACTGTTTCTAGTGGAAGTGTAGGGGACATACGTGTAGTGGAATTCAAGCAGACTGACAATAAGCTAGACTGAAGCTAGATTAATTAAGTCATATATGGCCATTTTACTCACAGTACAGTTTACATGCCACAGCCATTTCCAGCTGTCTTGGTCCTGAAATTAATACACTTTTAAAAACTAAATGAAATGCTGAAATGCTGCATAAATAGGCAACAATAGGATCCTCCCTAATGAGATGAAATAGGTGGTGTGAAGAAGCCAGTGCGCCAAATGGTTACAGATGGTAATAAGTAAAGAGAAGGGTTTTGCTCTTACTAATGTTTCCTAGCCATCAATAGGTAATTACATGGTTAATCAATCAGAGATCTCTAATTCTTTTTGTAATTTTAATTAACACATTTTAGTGGGAAGATGGGAGCTCTCCATTGTAAGGAGAAGCACAGGACAAACTACTTCACCATGAGAGAGACAGGAACAATTCTTTGTGCAAAATCCTCACACCCTACATGCAGGAATAAGGAAACAGCATCTCAAGAGATGCCATTTGGGACATGGTTCCTATGTGAAATCCTACCCTACATCATGGTAAAAGTTTCAGGAAGTGTATCTATTGCTTTTAGTGCTGGTTTATTTTGAGTATTTTGGAATGTAGACTTTTGACATCTGGAGGTGAAGAAATTTAAAATTCAGCTGAGTGCCATAATGAGAATGAAGTAATACTGAACGCAAACTGCTTAAAAATGATTAACTGATTGTTCTGGTATTTGGTGTCATGGTACTTTTCTTATTGTTATCCCAGTCCAGCTGGAGTCGTTTGTACTTAGTTAATACTGGCATATTTGTTTGGTTAGACTCTGAGAGATACAAGAGGTGGTTTCTGATCTTAACCTTGCTGAAATTTCTTCCAATACTCAGAAAGCTGCTGACAATTTGGCATTCTGAGGTAGTCAGAAAAGTTCTTCTAGAACTGCAAGACACCAGAGATTTCATCTAAGTTAAAAACGGAGTCAGTGATCTCAGCTCAGCCCAGAAGGAGTGAAAAGTCTGTTCTAATCAGGTACCTTACCGCATATACCGATTAAGAACTGTTCTGTTCTGGGGGCTTTATTCGATCCAGCTTCATGTGTGGGAGGCTCAAGAGAACTTGTGGAGAAGGAGGGAGAACAAACTGCTCATTCGCCGGTCTCCAGTACTGTGGTGTGTACTCCTGTTTCACAGCATCACTGCAGGGCATCTGTCTAATTATTGCAATCACAGAACAGGCAGCTGTTACCCACATTATTCTAATTATTAGCCAATCTCCAGATTATTCTGGAAACGTGATGTGTCAAACACGTCACTGTCGCTGCAGTACCATGGCTCCTGTTGCAGCGAGTCTGCAGCAGCTGAACCCCACAGAGCACTGGGAAATAGTGCCAGTTAAAAGCCAAGAGGGAACAGAAGTGGGTTGAGCATCTCATAAACCTGGCTCACTACAGATCCATCTTTGGGATTTTCAAATCGGTTACTGCAACGACTGAACATCCTAAACTATCTGGTAGTAAAAAGCATGAAGCTTTTATTAGCTAAAACAGAGTCCCTACACATTTCCCACCAGAAATCAGCACACCACCATAATGAGGCATTTTTAGGACTAACTCCAAGGAAGAAACATCACTTCGGAGGTATTGCACCACTTCCTGCAGTGTCTGGCTCTTCCTAAGAATCTCTATCCAAGAGCAGGACACAAATACACCTACCCCATTCCTTGACGTGACACGGCTTGAGCAGTCTCTGCATTCTCATCCTTGTCCTTGTCAGACTGAGTGTCTATACTGAAACACTGAGTAATAAGAAAAAGACTGGACTGAAGAGAAGGCCAGGTTCCCCCAAGCTTTGTCTTATAAACAAATTTGAAATAAAATAATGTAATGAATTAATTTCCTGTATTTAAAATAACCATGCAGCCATCCACTTAAAAAAAAATAGCTTAACCACAGTTTCCTCTTTTCCCTCCAGTGGTAATTTTCTACAGCAAAAGGAATCAAGTAATTTTGAGTTTTTCCTTCTGCTACCTTCCATAACAATGCTAGTGAAAGAGAGCTCAAGGTAAAGGACCCTGTGTTCATAGCGTGGTAATAACGGGCATCGTGATGTCCTACTCTTACCCACTTGTGCCAGCTACCGGTCACTACTGATTCCTTCCATTGCTTTTTCCAAACCATTCTGTGAGTTGAACTTGCCTTTCACAAGGCTACTTTAACAATTTTCTGGTTTTGTTTTTTTGTTTGTTGGTTCTTCTGGTTTTTGGTGTTTTGTTTTTTTTTTGGGGGGGGGGAGGTGGCAAGAGGAGTACAAGTCTGCTTAAAAAATAACCCAAACAATTACTGAAAAGAAAGCAACTGCCTTTTATCACGATTATTTCATTCATCAATTTCTGCTTCCTTTGCTGTCTGAGCCACTTGAAAGGTTCTGTCTGTAACTTCTAAATGGACACAAAACAACATTGCACCATAAGGAATGTGTATGTTCACAAATAATTGTGCATGTTTATTTTAGGATGTGTTTTATGTTGGAGGGAGACACACCCGCCTTGTGCTTAAAAGGAAACTCTTGGGGAATAGGAATTTCTTTAGCCTGCTCCTCCCCTTATTGTTCATTGCTTCCTGGTACTGACAAGGACCGCTTCCTCTCCTTACCCACCTTCCTCCAGGCAAACCTGCATTTCAGCGTGGTTTCACTCCTGCCATGGCCCACACAAAATCATATTGCTCTCCTTCCCTCCAAGTTTCCAAGCAGTGATCAGCAGCCTAGGAGCCTTCCTGGAATGGCAATCAGCCCATACAGCCTTCACTGCTCAAGTGTTTCTTTGAAATTATAAACATTTTCTAGTGGGATACTGCCTGAAACACTGCAACTACCCACTTTCAAATGTCCTCCAGATTTAGCAATTAGCCTAGAATGTAGTAAGGCTTATGAGGGACCATATCTACCAACACCAACATCCCCCCATCAAGCAGCTGGTTTTGGGGTGAAGACCTAATTAAACACTGAGGTTTCACATTTGCAGGGTCCAGGCCCATGGTCTTTGATGATGGCCCAAGAAATTAGCTCCACAGTGCAGGCACCAGCTCCAGCCTTGGCTGGTGCCACAGTCCAGTTCAGGCATCTCTTAAGATGCTGAAAGTAGCTTTTTCTGACCAACAAACTTTCGTGGACCTTTCGTAGCCCCTGTAAAATACAAGGTCAGACCTATGGGAAGAAATGCCCTGTGGGTATGGATGATGCTGTCTAGAGTTCAGGACATCCTTAGACCCAGTTCTCGCTGTTCTCCATTAGCTTGGTACAGTATCAGATTGACTTGCGTGTCCATTATGACCTCTAAATTGTTCCCAAGGTTGTGTTGCCTCTTCATCATCTCTAAACTGATAGCTTTACAGTAGTGCAATCTGGATGGATCCAAATTAATGATCAGATCTGTTTATGTAACTTGCCCTGTCTAGACTGTTAATTACCCTTTCACCAATCTTTACATCACAAAGTGAACTTTGTCATCTGATACGTTTCTATTTCCTTTCCTACCAAGGAGAATGCTGGACAGTATCAACATAATCCTGGTCCTAGCACTACACACACCACCATTTGATAATGTTACAGAGATAACTACTACAGAGATTTGCTGCTGCAAATTAGCCAGTTCTCAGTCTAATTAACCCAGATGTTATTTCTGTTACATAAATGGTTTTTTCTTAAATCCAAATGCACTACTAAAATACTACACAGACATCAATGTCTATCTCTGCATTTATACAGTTGCCTTTATCAAGCAAATCTGTGACTTCTTCCAAAGACTGAGATCAAATTCCACATTTGAAGCAAGCCAAGTCCCACTGCTGAAGAGAATAAGCAACCTTAAGAATATCACTAAATACAGGAATTCATTTACATGTCTCTTGCCGACACACAGTTATAGACAGAAAATCTATTTGGACCAGGAAGGACAGAAGTTATGGTAGCATTTCTGTTTTATGAATTAGGCAATGGCGTGAAACAACAAA